GTGTGGTGTGTATGGTGTGTGTGTGTATGGTGTGTATGTGTGGTGTGTGTGTTGTGTGGTGTGTATGGTGTGTGTGTGTGTATGGTGTGTGTGGTGTGTGTGTGTGTGGTGTGTATGGTGTGTGTGGTATGGTGTGTGTGTGTGGTGTGTGTGTGTATGGTGTGTATGGTGTGTGTGGTGTGTGTGTGTGGTGTGTGTGGTGTGTATGGTGTGTGTGTGTATGGTGTGTATATGTGGTGTGTGTGTTGTGTGGTGTGTATGGTGTGTGTGTGTGTGTATGGTGTGTGTGGTGTGTGTGTGTGTGGTGTGTATGGTGTGTGTGGTGTGGTGTGTGTGTGTGGTGTGTGTGTGTATGGTGTGTATGGTGTGTGTGTATGTTGTGTGTATGTTGTGTGTGTATGTTGTGTGTGTGTTGTGTGTATGGTGTGTGTGTATGTTGTGTGTGTATGTTGTGTGTATGGTGTGTGTGGTGTGTATGTTGTGTGTGTGGTGTGTATGGTGTGTGTGTGTATGGTGTGTGTGTGGTGTGTGTGTTGTGTGGTGTGTATGGTGTGTGTGTGGTGTGTATGGTGTGTGTGTGTGTTGTGTATATGGTGTGTGTGTGTGTGGTGTGTGTGTGGTGTGTGTATGTGTGTGGTGTGTGTGTGTGTGGTGTGTATGGTGTGTGTATGGTGTGTGTGTGTGGTGTGTATGGTGTGTGTGTGGTGTGTGTATGTGTGTGGTGTGTGTGTGTGTGGTGTGTGTGTGTGTGGTGTGTATGGTGTGTGTGTGGTGTGTGTATGTGTGTGGTGTGTGTGTGTGTGGTGTGTGTGGTGGTGTGTGGTGTGTATGGTGGTGTGTGGTGTGTATGGTGGTGTGTGGTGTGTATGGTGGTATGTTGTGTGTATGGTGGTGTGTGGTGTGTATGGTGTGTGTGGTGTGTATGTTGTGTGTGTGTATGTTGTGTGTGTATGTTGTGTGTGTGTGTTGTGTGTGTGTGGTGTGTATGGTGTGTGTGTATGGTGTGTGTGTGTGGTGTGTATGGTGTGTATGTTGTGTGTGTGTATGTTGTGTGTGTGTGTATGGTGTGTGTGTATGGTGTGTGTATGTTGTATGTATGATTAGTGTGTGTATGTTGTGTGTGTGTATGGTGTGTGGTGTGTATGGTGCGTGTGTGTGTTGTGTGTATGTTGTATGTACGTTGTGTGTGTGTATGGCGTGTGTGTATGTTGTGTGTGTATGTTGTGTGTGTGTGGTGTGTGTATGTTGTATGTATGTTGTGTGTGTGTATGTTGTGTGTGTATGTTGTGTGTGTGTATGTTGTGTGTGTATGTTGTGTGTGTGTATGTTGTGTGTGTGTATGTTGTGTATGTTGTGTGTATGTTGTGTGTACGCGTGTGTATGTTGAGATGAGAGTGGGGAGCGGTAGTGTAACGGAAGCCCCGTGGCCGCACCTGTACGCGTGAGCGTGCGTGCGTGGGGGTGTGTGTGTGTGTGTGTGGGGAGCGGGGGTGTAGCGGTTAGCGCCGCGCTGCGCTATGAACCTGGTGATCTGGGTTTGATTCCCGCTCACGGCCAACACCGGTGACGATTATCCAAACCAGTCCCGGGCCTCCCCTAGGTCGACTCAGCCTCAAATGAGTACCTGGTGCGGTGTGTAGTAAACATCGCCACTGGGGAGACAAAGGCGGCCGGGCGTTGTGCTGGCCACCCACCCCTGCGTGTGCCACAGTGCCGGCCTTCACAGATGCTACTCGCTAACAGCACTTGCCCCAGCAGTCTTCTGCAGGCTACACGGGGGATCTTTGTCTTTGTTGTGATGAGATTGGAGGCCGTGTGGCTGGAAGTTCACGTGCACGACGGAGGGAGATGTCGGATGGGAGCGACATCAGTTGGTGAGGGGTGGTGGTGTTTGTAGTTGTGTGTGTGTGTTGAGAGGTTTGTGTTTACGCGTGCAGTTGCGTTGGTGCGCTTTTTTTAGATGAGCGATTGTGGTTTGAGAGGTGCTGTGTGTGTGGTTGTCTGGGCCGGTTGTTGCGGCGTGGTTGTGGCTGTTGTGCGGTTGAGTGGTTGTTGTGTGTATGGCTGTGATTGCGACAGCCACTGAGGTGTGTAATCTAAGCCGCTTGTGAAGCGCTGCTCACCCACGCCCCGGCATGAAAGAGAATATGTTTTATATAGCACAAAGAAAAGTATCATTACAAAGTGTACATTTTCGCACTGATTTTTTTACACCAGAGGGGTGTCCAAGAGAGTTTTTAAACTGTGAACATGTTTAATGTTAGGATTTCAAGAAAATAACACGAGCATTCGATTGCTTTGACAAATTTTGTGTACACTGCATTCTTCAAATGTTTATCGGTCTCTTGTCGACCTCTCAAGTTCAGTTTAATACGTAGTGGTTATAGGCTTTCGCGACGAATATCATACTTAATAATATAGTTTGTGTTGGGTTAGATCCTGTAAATATATAAATGTGTCGTTAAACCCCCCACCACCCGACACAGCCAACTAGTAAGGGTTGTCACGTAAACCGAACGTGCCAATTCGTCACTAGTACAGCACTAGTGTAGTGTATAGTGTAGTGTATAGTGTAGTGTATAATGTAGTGTATAGTGTGTAGTATACTAGTACAGCACTAACCGGTGTGTTGGAAAGTCAAACCACATCATTTACAATCTGAGTACGACGTTTCGCCAGTAATTACAACTAGCTTCATCAGGCGACAGCCAGATTTCTCAAGTTCACCGCGTTGTTCACGCTGGCAAACCCGGCCTCAACCCTGTCATTAGTCAATCTCTAGTCGCTATTGGGACGATTCGGGGACATTAGTTCGCATTTCGGAAAGTCATCCGTAGAACGTGAACCTCGTGATGAACCAGTACGAACCTCATGGCTCCGAGGCCGTCTTTTGTCTTAACAACCCTGCACTGTGTGGCATGCGTGTTGTAGCTTCTACAAAGCTGCGGGCATGCAGTCAGTCTCACGCCACCGGCTGGCTACTCCACGCATTGTGTGGACGTGTGTTGAACTTGTTTCACACCGTATCTTGAACTTGTTTCGCACATGTACAAAGCCAACTGTGCTAACGCGAGTCGCTTTGCCCATGCACGTCACATTGAGAAGGCTGCTGTGGTGCGTACACATCGCACTTGCACCCACGTGGGTTTGTACGACACGGAACGTCCGCTGTACACCGGCACGTTTAGAATTTGGGATGTCAGGAATGGGCAGCGCATGTCGGCAGGTTAGCGTTTCCTAACGGCACCGTTTGACTTGTTTTTAAGTTAATCGGTTTACTCAAACAAAACTCACTATAAACTAAACTAAAAACGAAACTTGTAAAGGTTACCAGGTAAGGCCCACTAAGCTATACAGCTGTATTTCAGAAGCGACCCGGCCACAAATGATAGCTCAACGAAGTGGCTTATCACGTGGAAATGTATATCAGCCAAATACTCTAAACGCACGTTGAAAAATGTGGAGGGGAAACCCGGAGGACCCAGAGAAAATTGTACGTGACCACGTGGAGAACACGCACACTCCAAATACACAGCAGGCGTCAGGGTCGGGATTTAACCCACGACCCCTGTATACCAGGCGAGGGAGTTAACATCTCCTAGACATCGTGATGATGATGAGAGAGAGACACGCAAACTCCAAATACTCAGCAGGCGTCAGGGTCGGGATTTAACACACGACCTCCTGTAGACCAGGCGAGGGAGTTAACATCTCACGCGTTAAATAATTAACGGCCGTGCTTATTAACTCTTTGGGCCGTCCAGTTGAAGCCGAGACATATTCCACGTTAGTCTAACACGTAGGCTTTCGCGACCAATACCGTTAACGACAAATTAATATATATTAACACGATCTAACCCAAAACCAACCTGTATTAGGGATATTCCGCGTCTATTGGTGCCGTACTGCAAGGTCTCTTAAGTGTGGGATTCGCTTAATCGTATTGAGTTGGTGGTGGCGGTGCGAACTTAGATTTTGAATGTGGGTTAGAGTAATGTTTGCGGTAAGATCCATCTCAAAATGTGTTTTCAAGTCAACCCGCATTGCAAAATCCTATTCCAAGGCCGGTTTTATTTTTACCTGTGTATATGTCAACTGATGTTAACTCTAGTCTAAATGGTGTGTGCCTGAGTAAATATTTTGTCAATTCATTGTTGGGTAAAACATACTATTTGGTGATACTGAATTGGCAGTGGTGCATAAGCACATAACAAAACCAATCTACACATATTTGTGAATACATCTTAAATATGAAAAGTATACACTCGGTGACGTTTTAGGCAATGATCCTTCTTCACAGCACATAGAGGACAGAGGGATGGGTGCCAGAGAGGTGGGTACCACTCTTGCCTCCCGAAGTGCTGTATAGAAGGGACATTGCCTGAAACGTCACCGATTATATATTATTTTAAGGCAGTGTTATTAACGAGTGTGTTGAGTTTAATTGTTGGCTACAGGCCCCCCTCACGCCGTGTCGATGATGACATACGATGTAAAAAAACACAACAGAGTAAGAAAGCTAAGAAACGTAACCTTTCATTGCCCGTGAGTAACCCTAAAATAAATCATCACGTACTCAGATATAAATGAAGCCGTCAAGTACAATTACCGTTGTGCATTAGAAGATATTTACAACGTTCATTTAAAATGCAGCATCTATCTACAAGGACTGTCAACCCAACTATATTTTCCTCTCATCAAAAACAAAGACTACCTGGCATGGACTACCGAGAGAGACTTTGAAGATGACAATAAAAACATGATAATGCGCGCTTATGACCAGCGACATCATAGGCGCGCTGAAATCAATTGCAATCGCCTCCTCTGTTGCACGGGCAGCTACAACCCACAGGCGCACGCGTGACATCTCGACTCTGCAACAAACCTGCCCGAGCAGTTCACATTCGCTCACCGACGCGACTCGCCCTTTACCACCAAAATGAATTCATCTGCAACGCCACAGCGACGGCGCAACGTCGCCGTGTGTATGAGCATCTCACCTCACGCGGCGCGGTAGACGTCTCTCCCTCGCTGAGATTGAGTGAGTGTGTGAGTGAGTGAGTGCTCTGTGTGCTCTGTGTCCACCACGCTCTCGCAGTCACACTCGCCGTGCTCGCATCGTGCTGCCCGCACCTGTGGTCGAGTGAGCGCGTGGGGGTCTCGGCCCAGGTGTTGTGCGCGATGCCCCCACCCCACCCCGCCTCCCACCCCACTCCATCCTTGCGGGGGGACAGGTCCCGTGCGCGTGACGTGGAGACCACGGAAGCCTCGTGGCCGCACCTGTACGCGTGAGCGTGCGTGCGTGCGTGGGGGTGTGTGTGTGTGTGTGGGGAGCGGTGGTGTAGCGGTTAGCGCCGCGCTGCGCTATGAACCTGGTGACCCGGGTTCGATTCCCGCTCACAGCCAACACCAGCGACGATTGTCTGAACCGATCCTCGACCTCCCCTAGGTCGGCTCAGCCTTAAAATAATACCTGCTACGGTGTGTAAACTTCGCCACCAGGGATGCAAAGGCGGCCGGGCGTGGTGCTGGCCACCCACGCCCTCTGCTATGCCAGTCTTCAGAGTGGCTACTGTTGACGGCTACGCGGGGAGTATTTGTGTGTTGCTCTCCATTCTCAGCACGCGGAGCGGATTCTTGACTCAGCTGCTCTGAGTTTCCACGATGTTTGTCAATCATCAGTGTGAGCTATTCTTCACGTCAGGTCTTGGGCTACGTCGTATCAGATCCTCTCCCAACCCATCGTCCACTGAATTCCTGAATGAAATATGTCCAGCATTGCGAGGGCATAATGCGCCGGAACCCCAACTTGCCAAAGGGCCTTCGTGGCCACCCTGTTTGTTTGTGCGCCAGATTATCCCAGTTGCAAAAGTAGCTACATGTGTAGTAGCTACGGGCCCCGCACTGTCAAGGGCCCCGCGCTAAATGCTTTCAAGCTATCAATTCCGGTTCAGTGATTCTGCACTTGCTCTATTACTATAGTACTATACTGCCTTCAACTTTTATGAACGACTGGGTGTTTGAGGTTAGCGATTTATTGTATTATCTGGCTGTATAGCAAATAAAAAAAATACTATTAGTTTGCTATGTTTTAATATTCGTGTGTTTTTTTTTTATTTAGGGCCCCTTTATATGCCACAGGCCCCGCACGAGATTAATCCGGCACGGATGTGCGCCTATGTTTCTGTGAACGTGGTGGCACATTCCCATGGAGCTCTGGACACTTGCGAGGCGTGTCTCATGGCCTTCGGCGAACTTTGTTGCTGGCTTGCATCAACATTCCTGGTTTGTCCACGTGACGTGACTAATGTGAATTACCTGTCTCGTGATCTGTGCATTGTGCAACAACACTACACAATGGGTGTGGCGATTATACGATGCTGGAAAAATACAATAATGTTCATATTCTTGGTTCTTTCGGAGAAGTCACGTAGAAGGGAAATAAATGTTAAATGAAAAAATACATTGATGTTCGTATTTTTTTTCTTGCTGTGGATTTCACACCTGATGATGATTGCTTGTGTTGCAGTCGAAACGTAGTGAGAATTTGTATTGTTTTATATTTATATTATTTTATTATTTCCCTTCTACGTGACTTTACCGAAAGAACCAAGAATATGAATCCCTGCAGTCACGAAAGCTTTAAATCAAAACAATGATGTTCGTTAATTACAATGGTCATCATCGTCGTCGTCGTTACGATCCATGGGCAGAGAGCCCGAATCCATCCACTGCGCATTTCGTCATTTTGTTTCCATTTTTCTGTCTTGTTCCAATATGCTCAAGTGCACATATTAATGTCACCAGTCTCTTATGTCGCCAAACCATTCTCTGTTGGGTCTTCCCCTATTTCATGTTCCTTCCGTTTCCCCGAACAACACACGTTTAATTGTCCTGTTGTTGTCCAAATAGTGACAGTTTCATTCATGTTCTTGCGAATGGCAATTTGTTCAGAAGCTAGATGCCAATGTCGATGTCTGCTCGCCACGAGAGGAGGTGTTCCACCTCCGGTGAAGGAGCGCAGACTACAGTGGTTTACTATATGGTTAATAGTTTGTCTTGCATGGCCAATGCCACTCATTTATTACACGTACCCTAAAATTGTTTCTGCATTGCAATAACTATGGATTTTATTAGGCAACACATGTTACTGTAATTCCAATTTACCGCCCTCTTTTCATTCCACTGCCGGATGAAGGCCACTCCTACATGTGTCGGGCATGGGGTTAGTTTGACCATACTTCACCAAAATTGTAAAGGTGGGGTGAGACCGGGGTCAGATATCACTCACCATAGCTGGGACTCGAACTCAGGAAGCCAGAGCACAATAACCATGACATTACCATAAAGAAGCCCATTCACCTTAGATGTTTAATAAATATTTATTTAGTGGCGTATCTTGCCTGAATGTCCCTGTAGATAACAACACCAACAACCGCCATTCGCCACTAGGTGGCGGTGACGTCACCACGGCGCTTGTGCCAGGCTGTGTGCATGTTGAGGCCACGTGAAGTGTCGAACGCCCGCTTGCAGGAGGTCACGGGGCAGACCCAAGTGCCATGGGTCGACTGACTGAGATGACTGGCCGATGCACCACATGTGCCCCCTACTGTGCCAACTTGCCTCCTCTGCCCTCCGTTGTTGCTGGAGGGCGACTGACTCCAACTGCCCAGTAGCGTCCTTCACGAGCCTCCCCCACAGAGCCCGATCTTGACACCGCCGCTGCTACCAGTCATCGAAAAGTCCACCCAGCTCCACATCCACTTCTACCACATCATTCCATCCCTTCCATAGCCTGTTCAGCACCCGTTTAACCCCCTCTATCCGGTCAAACAAAAGCCGTTTAGGCATGCGGTGGCTAGGCATGCGGGCTACATGACACAGTCTGTACATAGCAAACACGTAATGACACGTGCACCATAATATTTAAATCTAAAATATATACAGCACACATTTATACCACCAGTTGATACAGAATATTCACAAAGAGCATACTCTAACGTTCACAATGGTGAGTCTTGTGCGAGTAGGTTTTCATTACAGATTTAAATAAGTTGAGACTGGTAGGTGGCACGTTTAAAGTGTGTCTGGGAGGTCGTTCCATATGTGGGAGATATAATCGCGAAACCCTTCCACCGGCCAGACGGAGTTCTGTCTCCTCCGCTGAACTCACGGCATCTCACGGTGAAGGGCGACGTTGTCCGTGCGTGGTGCGTGTCGTCTTTGCAGGTATCAACCCTGCCGTGCGTGTGGCTTGGACAGTGTGACTCACGAATGTGCGTGCCCGCATGAAGTTTTTTTTTAAGCGAAGGATGCTTTCAATAAGCAACCGTCAACGAGAGAGTTGGAGGAGGGGGAGAATAATGCAATAATAGAGTCGACAATTCAGCACTGATTGACCTTTATGTTTTCCTTTACAATATATTTCAAGCTGGCATACCCATGAGTGTTTAAATGATACGAATCAATTCCTCACACATCCTCCCACGCCAAAATCGTGACTCCACCGTGAAGAAAACGACATTCGGAGTTACACAAGATTCTCGCAAGTCACTTTATCGCCATGAGCTGTCACCCGTCGGCTTCTTGTTAATAAAAGCAAACATTGGCTCTGCACACCGACGTCAGTATAGTGGTGCTGCTGAAATTGAACTCAGCAGCCGCACCCCAGTGTTGAGTTCAAACATGAGCACGTGATCCGAAGTGAATGCTTGACTGTAAATATGTGCACTTTCAGTGTACTACTTTTTATATATCATAATGAGCTGAGCGTAATGAACCTATCGATGATGCACGATTGATTTGGATTGAGATCAGACCCAGTGTTATTGCTGTAAAGTATATTGGATGCACTTTATTGGATAGGACAGATTCTGACAATCCAGAGGAGAGAATATGATCTAAACATTATTATTAAATCGGAGACTGTATTTTCATGAAAAAATATGTGACGAAAATAAACTGCATCTTCTTGGCTTTTTGCGGTATACTGTATATGTAAATGCCTTTAATCTGGGTTTCATGAACCTTAATGTTGCCAACGATCTGTAGTACTCTTAAAAAACTATATTCCTGTCAACAGAACTATTATGCATAGCAAGAATGCGTGCAGCCCAAGTACAGTGTAATATATACGACAGCTTATTTATCCGCAGCTACCATGGGCAGCAACTAACACATTCAGAAATTTGCAGGTGTAAGACTTAAAAAAAAAGTTAATTTCACGAACAATACGTCTCGTGCACGTGCTATGGTCATGACGTCGTTTTACTGTCATGAAAGATTCTGTGTCTGAACGCTCCGATCACTTGTCAGCCAGGTGGCAATTTTGTTGAATGGCGCACATTTGAGCTGGGAATCTGACAAAGGGATAGGACACTTAAGATGGGTTGAGCGGAGAAACTTTAATGTGCATTACTTGGGGTAATGCAAGTAAAAGTGAATGTCCCCTCTCGGCATTTGTTCACGTAGCATAATGTAACAAGAACAATCAATGTTTATACGTATCGCATCTAAATGTGACGACGTCTTAACTTGCTGTAGATAAACAGTACGACAAGAATCTTTCACTGAGGACAAACCATTGGTTGTCGTGTAGATATCTCTTAATAATAAATCATGTTTAAACAATTACTATCACAGTCTCGTTATCTAAGGTGTTGTTCCTATCAATTATGTAAAACCTCGTCACATCTCAAAGTTTATAAATCTCGCCAACGGGATGCGGATTTAGAATTGAAGAACATAATACATCCATAAATAAGACCACACCGACTCCCAATACACGTGTAAATTGAAGTCTTTCAATGACCACAGAATATCAACCATTGACTCAGAATGACATCCAGCTCCAAGGGTAATTACAAAGCGCACGATACAAAAGAGAAAGACAACAAAGCACGGCCGCCCAACACGCATGAACGCAGCGTTACCGAAGACCCTGCCTGCATGGCTCGCCACAATGGCCACAAGGAGGGCCCTTGGACGTCTGTCCAGCTCGCGGTTGCCGCCCAGCGATGTGCAGCTTTCTAACGCGTAGAACAGTGTGGATTGAGCAGGGAATGATAGTGAGAGGGAACGACTTTACTCTTTGGTTCTTTCGCTAAAGTCACGTATAAAGAGAAAATAATAAATTA